TATGTAGACAGTAAAAGATGGTAATAGACTGCTTTCCGTGCACAGACTCCATATCTAAGTAGTCTACAACTCTGCAGTAACAATAATAAAAAGTAACATTGTGTTATTTGTATAATTTAAAAATATTTTTGCATTATTAAATTTTGCTATGTTGCACCCTGTGGTTCCGGTCATGGTGGGCAAGAAATGGATCCTGAGCATTGAAATAGTGTTAACCCTGGAGCTGGCATTCTTCCAGCTATGGCTCAGTGAATAAGGAATAATGCTGGATCTAATGGGTCAGTTTATATCAAATTCTATTATTTTTTTTTTATATCTGGCACAAACATATAGATAATACCTGAATAATAAGAAATATCAGTATATATAAGGCTAAATGGAAGCTAAGCTACCTGCTACATGTGCATTGACTGTAACAATGCATTATCCTCAGAAATGTAATCATTGTATGAAATGACTTAACAAGGGTTGGGATACCATGAGAAGGAGAGGCTGAATGATGATGGGAAAAGACTGTTGTGTACAATGCTGATGGGTATGTCTAGCCTTGCTATGCTCCTCCCTTGCTCACACTTCATTTATTATTATATATTATCATCACTACTTCATGATATGATTTTTATAGTGACACAATAATCAGTGGAAATAATGCATAAGCACATTTTTGCCAGATGCTTCATTTAACCCTACAATGACAGTACCAGAAATCTTGGGGTGTCACTAATTCCTGTGACTTCTGGCAACCCTCCAGCCTTTGGTTAGGGAGTCCGCTATGTAAGACGGAACCTTCCGCTCAACTCGCTTTAGTGAGTTGTAGCATATATAGCCGTAACCGTCATGATGAGCTGGTTTTTCGTGATGGCTATAAGCGTGCCCGGCTGTAAGTGATTAATGAGTAGGAAAATTTTAAGTATCACTGATTGAAAAGCAACTCCAGTTTCTGCCAGGACATAAAAGATTAAGAATATAATTACACATGTACAGGCTCAATGTTCCTTATGTGTGCCACAACTTGACTATTAGTATGTTTTATTTTGTTTTTGAGCTATAGACTGGCAGTCAGCCATAAACTATAATTTACTTTGTGTGTGCATCACAATTTTCTGTTTTTTTGGTTCACTGAGAGATGAAAGCAGGGAGATTATGTGCAATATCAGAATTAGTACCACTGATTGTCCAATGTCAGAGGCATCATAATCATGCAGCATTGTATTATTCCATCTTTCATATCTTATCAAGTACAAAAGTTTCTCTTAAAATGCTTATTAGGAAAAATTATGTAGAAAATGCTATACTGCAGTGTTTTTATGTCATTTATATTGGGTATAATAGCAGGATTCTAGCCTGATAAATAACAAGAATTTGAAGTGATCATGAAGATATGGCATACCTTGCTCCAAATGTTTTATGTAGAGGAAATGTGAAATGTATACTTTCCAATTCTCATTTTGATTTGCATTACATTCAAACTTGGAAATCATATCTAAGGATACACTGATTGTAAAGTTTTTGCCTACCATACCTGAAAGTTGGTATGATTTCCAAATCAGAGGCTGATGAAACAGCAGCTCCTTTTTTGTAGAAATGTGTGGTGTGTGTTGAATGAATGTTTTTTTCTTGTTTTTTTTTTCCTCTTTTTTTCTTGTTTTTTTTTTTCCTCTTTTTTTCTTGTTTTTTTGCTGCAGTTTCATAACCAGAAGTATAATATATTTTCCTTTAGTATTGTGCATGAATGCATTAGCTTTGATTCCATTACTGACAGTCAATAATCATGCTTTAGCTGCTGCATTACATTGCATGAATATTTACCAACACAGTTTATTTGTCATTTGATATTCTGTTTGAGTTTTTTTGCCTTTGCATTTGCTTTTAAGAGAAAAATTATGATTACATGCACGTTTGTTCCAAAATATTGTTACCTTTGGTATCAATCACTTGTGAGCTTTGTTGTATGAAAATTTTCTGCTCTACTGTTTCTTTGCCAAAATGAATTCAGAATTGTACTTAAGAACAGTTGATGAGCCTAGGCTCCTCACAAGGTGTTTGTTGAGTGAGACTGGCATGTTTGCTGTGGTGTGTGGTGCATGTGGTGGTGTGTTCTTGCAGTGGGGAGAGTGATTTGGAGGGCTCTCGACGCTCTTCCATGGACCACCCATCTGCTGTACAGTTGCGGAGGCTGTCCACCTTACCCAGAGATCCTCGAGACTCCAGAGTTGACCTGCGACGGATGAGCCTTTACTTGGAGCCTGGTACCTGGCGGCTGCCCAGTGACCGAGCTGCACTACCTCCAACACACCCTCGTCGTTTCTCCATGGGCCCAGACTCTTATACACAACCTTACAGGATGACAGACTCCCTCACTGAGATCCAGGGCGACATCCAGCGACTGGCAAACCAGCAGCAGCAGATCCAGAGCATGATGCACAATGGCATGACTCCCCAAACTAATCAAGGGATGCAACAACCTCCTCCTCATGGCCAATTTTATCTTCATGATCAAGTAAGTATACAAATGCTACTACTGTCAAGAGATAATATCCAAACAATATGTATTTTCTTAATTCTTATTAACCATACATGATGATTGACATGCTTTAGTGTCTTGGCTAAACTGTCACTCATGTCAGGATGATGACCTATCATGTCATGTGCAATTGAGCCTGTTTCAGGTTATATGCACATTACAGTTTGCTTCTTTGGTCCTAGCTGTGGTCATTGAGGAGGAAGAGTCTTGTAAAAGGTGGGCTTTAAGCCTCTTTTTAGCCTCCTATGCAATCATTTATATTGCAGCAAAGAGTGTAGCCAAAAGTTTGGTATGATTTTTTTCACTATTGTACTTTTCCCTTGAGCAGCTGGTTTGTTAGGCATGGGACCAGGAGACTCTGATGTGAGATGTTTAATGCGTTGTATCTGGATTTTTTGCTTCCCACACTTAGCCCTAAATCTAGGCATTAGGCTTTCTTGAGTGGCGACTCTTCTGGGTGTATGGCTTGTAGACCCAGCCCATTTAAAAACTTGTGGTATTAAGACTCTGTGCCTCCCACTTGCTATGTTATCTTTTTTTTCCTGTTAAAGCATTTGAATTGTTTTAATATTTTGTCATATATTATGCTGTATCAAGATGTTAAATGACTGTTTTTGTTGTGCAGTCTGTTTTCTTTCTCTAGGTTGTCTACAACTCTGTGCAATTATATTCATTTACTGGTAAAAGTAATACAAGAATCCCTTCCTAAATTACTAACAGAACTAAGCTTCCTCCAAGGGCTGTATGCACTCAGAGAAAGTCATTACTGGTACCTGAACCTTCAGTAAAATTTTCCATGGTGGCATATTTAGCCAGTTTTTTCATGCTGTGATGGTCAGTACCAAATGGTTGAAGAGAACATGAAAGTGGTGTACAGTTTCATGCTTTTAGTCATAATTTCACCTTACAATGATTAATTCTGGAAGATGAATATTAGTAAAGGTTATTAGGGGCAGTATTTACCACAATCCAATGGTAACAGGCATATACATACAAGCTCATGTGCAAAAGGAGAGAAAATGTTTTCAGCTAGGAGAAAAATTCCTCACTTGCCATTTTATCAAGTACTACAATACATGTAGTAAATGTCTAACTTGGTCTTGGAATTCCTGGATAACTGTAGGCCTGAATACCTGGTATAGAGGGTTTATATGTCGAGGGAGACATATTTCTTTATACAGTTTGTCTCTTCCCTGAACCCTTTACTAATGGATGAAGAAAATATAAGAAAACTACACTCTGGAGATTAATAGCAACGAGCCGACTTTGAACTCGGGAGTTCGCTACATCAAGCTCATACTGCTTTAGCGTGTCGCCACAGTGTACAGCTGCACTCCACAGATCGAGCAGTTTGTTATGATGCCTGAACGCGTGGCCTGTCAGTATGGGGTTAAACATTCAGCAACACCTGGATTCATTTTGAACCCTGATGTCATTTTCTGGGGTACCTGTAGTTAGGAGGTAATTCTATGACATATATAAACATAACATGGAAGGGTGAACCTGAATTCTAGATAGCACATATGCATGTCCTGACAATGTGTGTTCTGCTCTTTACATAAGCATTAAATTTTATAGCACGAGTACTTGAGCTACAGCCTTCCAATGTTAATCAAATTTAATTATTTATATTTTTTATTGGATTACTTATATATTTTTAATTGATAAACAATAATTATGTCTGGAACTAAAGACAGAGATAAAAAAATTATTGTTTCTGTTCAATTAATTCAAGTCAGCCAGTGCATTCTAATTATTGTTAACCCTTGATTTTTTTATAGTTTTAATGATAAACAGTAATTGACAAGTCTAGAATTATCCCTTACAATCCAGATGATGTGACCACGTCATGACAAAATTTGTCTTGAGGGGCAGGTGATGCAAATATGCTGTCATGGAAAAATTGGCTAAGGACCGGGTTGACAGGAATATACTGTCATGAGAATTTGGGCTGAAGGCCTGGGTGATGGAAATGACTCGCCATGAGTGCACAAAGCTTGTGGAGAGTGATGAGACTCAGTAGGCAATTAGGAAGGGTATAATGCATTATTTTTATTGAAATAGTGTATGAAATATACTATCTGTGAGCCATGACTAGAAGAGCACTGGCTCCAGGGAGAATGCCATTTCCATGCTCAGGATCCTATTCCTGCCCACTGTGACTGGTGATATTACAGGTTATATTATAGAAAAATGAATGTTAAAAAAAAAAGACAGATAACAAAATGTCATTCTTATGCTGAGTTTGGTATATACTACATATGCTGAGATATGTAGTCTGTACAAGGAAAGCAGTCTATTACCATATGGATGAAGCAAATGAAATGACAAATATAGACATTGGAAAATTGCAAAAATGCACTTTGACATAAAAACAAAACAAAAAAACAAAGAAAACATTGCAAAGGGGAGAGTCTTGTCAGTGCACATGAGTGTTCATGTATACCAGGCCTACAAGCCTCACACCTATTAGAGT